ATATATGGGGGATATATGGGTGAGATATGGATGATATATGGCTGATATAAGTCATAACATGTGACAACATGTGATAACTAGAATTCGAACCTGAGAGATGTATCTGGCTTGGAGACACCGATGAAGACTTTGCGGTAAGTGAGAATGACCCTGAAGCACATCACAAGCAAATGGGAAAGTGAGCTCAGAAGTTGGAGAAAGAGCTAGCATATGGTGACACTACCACAAAACAAACACGCACAAATGCAGTGAAAGCAATCAGTCATTTAGGGATCTTTGCCTTCTATCCTTACAATTCCACAACACATCGTAACCATCGGATAAGCTATCAGCAACTACAAATGGTTCAAGATGACATCTGTCATCTGTGACAGACACACATCTGCTTCAGTCGAATTCCATTTTTCTACAACTTCAATGTGTGGCTTGAACCACATTGAATCCTGAATTTTACAAGTTGTATACCGGCCTTTAAATACCTATTGACTATATATTATACATACACATACACACAAATAAATAAACAAATAAATAAATGAATGAATGAATGAATGAATGAATATACGTGTATATATATATATATAAATAAACAAATTCATAAATACATTAAATGAAAAAACAAACGAACAAACAAAAATAATGGGCGGCACACATAGTCCTCCTCTGGAGATTACTTACAATCGTTTTCAACTCCGAAACCACTGGATGTTCATCTTTTTGGCCCAGTGTCCTGGTGTCAAAACCATTCTCATGGTGAGTTGCCCAAGATTCCCATCATCACCACTTAAGGCCTTCATTTTTAACCGCTACCATCCAGTACCATCCAGTACCATCCAGTACCATCCAGTCCCTTTCCCCACGTCCGGCCATCCCCAAGGCATCCCCAAGGCATCCCTGCGGCATCCCGTCCAAGGCACCCGTTCAAAGTGGCGATGGCCTGTGCCACTTCTTCAGGCGAGCTGTAAGCCGCTGTGCCGGTGCCAGCACCCTTGCCCTGGCGGAAGAGGATGGACCAGGAAAATCATCCAAAAATCAACGAGTCCTTGGAAGATGTTGGAAGATGAATTGGATTCAATTGGATGATTTCTTTTTGGACATTGTTCCGTTCAAGATCACTGAGATTCGGCACCGAGCCGCGACTCGGAATCATGGATCAGATCTGTCCCTCATCGGATGCTTCAGATCTCGCTGCAAACAACTGATTCCAGAGAACTTGGCAAAATCATCATGAAAATCCAGGGCGCCCTCGAAGGTTCCCTCAAAAATTGGGCTTTAATCAACCCACAGAGGGGACTGATGAGGGTTTAGAACCCTGCCACGAAGCGATGCATCTTCATTGCCGCACCCCAGCCTCAAAGACTTCGACCCACTTGGTCTTGCCCACCTGATTCATGTGCTCCTGCGCGATGTATGGCTGTAAACCACGAAATGTTGGGATGTGAATGACTGCCCAATCTTTACAAAAGGTGTACGTATAGTGTTGATCCATGACCAAATGGGATCGGCACTTTTCCTCACTTTTCTATCTTTCCGACATTTGCTTTGATCATGTTTGATCCTGTGCCGCCGGAGCAAGTCATAGGTAACCTGTCAAAACAGAGGTAGCCATTTCTGCTTCAGGCCCCACCGCAACAAATCAGTCCTGCAGTTCCTGAAGGGGCTGACCACGCAGGGTCAAGGGCGGGGTCGAGATTTGAATTAGAACTCTAGAACTAACACTGCAAAACTAACCCTAAAGAATATGGACTTGGTCAGAGTGATTACAAGCTTCAAGATGTTTCGACGCCACACAACTTGGAGCTGTTGGCAAAACTCGAAGTGAAATCATGTGAAATCCATGTCGATCTTATTGGATTCTGCGTGCGGTGAACGACCCGTGCCTTCCATGTGGTTCCAGGCCTTGGTGTGGGAACTCCCAGTTTCCAACTTCAGGGAGCATTCCAACCAAGAAATGAGGCAGTTTGATAAGTTTCATAAGTTTCAATGATTGCTACTAAAATGAATACATTCACGAAGCCTCACAAATTTGGTGTGTCAATCTTTGTTGTCGCCTGGAACGCCGTGGAAGGCTTATTGCGGCCAAGGCGCGAGATTCCTCCGATCCACACCTGGCTCGTTTTACCAACAACTGGAGCCAGGATCCAAAAACAAACTCAACCGGGGTATGCCCGGAAATCACAATGCCTGCAGTTCAAAGTATTCGGAAGGCTTTGGGCCAGTTTTGCTCATGCAAAGGTGAACAGAAGGATAGAAATCCACCATTCTTTCTGGGGCGGGTATTTTTCCAATTCTATGCTTGTTTCGGGTAGGGTACAACTCACGCCCAAAACCATGGAATCATCTGCAAATCCCATTTTCAAGTGACAAGAACTCTGAAATGTTGCGAACCAAACGGGAGTAACTTTCTGAAGCATTGCGAATCACGGTAGTCTGGTGCCTTCTCAGATGGATCCACGCGTGGGCCCTTGCCCTTGAAGAAGCCCTGGGCACGGCAGCATGATCTGAGGATGCTAGGGGATTGCATCTGTTGTGCATCTTTGGAAGGGCATACCATAACAAATCGAAGGTCCCATTAGTTCACTCACACAAATCCCAGTGTTTGGGTCAGCCGTTTGATTTCACCAGCTACTCCCGGAAACATCCATTGGCAAATAGCAGTCATCACCATACATTATTCCAAGCATCGCCAAAGCAGCCCCATTCATCAAGGCAACTCCACCCATCCAAACTTTCCGGTGGATCAGGCCTTGCCCTTGCCAAAACCCTTGAAACCGCCATAGAACGCCATCTGCCTCATCTGTTGATACCTCATAGCAGAAGGGGAACTTCCAAAGCCACCTGAAATTGGTCTAGATGGATCCCACAGGCACAGTAAAAATCTGGTGTATATCACCAACTACAGTACAACCCAAATAATCTTGTGTATTGGGATTCCGGGCCTCATCATTTTCCAACACTCTTTCTGGATCACCCTCTGCATTCCCAGCTTGTTTTTTTTTGGATATCAATCCATCCATTTACCAAAACAACAATTTTGGTTCCATTGGGAATACAAGTAATTACCTCATCACCAATTTGGCAACTACAGACAAGTACAGCAATCTTCACATTTCCAGGGACCATCCCAGTTTTTAGGGGTCAGAAAAACACGGTTTTTTCAACGCGAGTTGCTGATTTCCCGCTGCCCCAAGGAGCTGCACTTCCGTGGCAGCTGGACCTTGCAACCACGATTGGCTGGTTGTTGGAATACGAATTTTAGTTGGTTATTAGATTTAGTAAATTTATTACCTATTTAATTTCAATATCTATGACATAATGTATCATAATAATGACAGGTGTGGATAGTGTACAACTGCCAAAGGTTCTTGGCCGCTCTTGTCTTGTTTTAAAGACGGTTCTGCTTGTAATTTGCACATGTGGATGTAGAAAGAAGCTTGGAAAAGTCAAAGACCACGCAGCGCACCTTTCTCGCTATCCGTCTTCACCTTGAACTTGCAATGGCCTTCCAACACGCAGCAAACGACCACGGGCTGTTTTGATACCTTTTTGGCGAGCTCATGTTGTTGCACACTTGCAGCAAAAAGGGGCCAATGAGCACAGCAAAAACTGACTTGTAGCAGCTACTGAATGTGTGGAACCACGGTTGCAAAAGTCAAATTGAAATCAAAGATTCATATCCAACTGCGATATGGAGACATTAGTGGGAAACTACACACTAGCGGTCAATCCGAAAAGGGCTGCAAAGTAAACAAATCCTCAAGTCGGATGAATTTTTCTGGGTTCGACACCAAGAATATCAAACAAGTCTGGTCTGGTCGACAAAAATGCCCTAGTGGAAACTGATCCTCCAAATATCCCAGCACCAAACACCTCCTTGCGGGGCGAAGCCACCTGGGCTGGCGGGCATCCATGGTGCTAGTGCCGGATTCTCATCAAAGTACATGTCTAAAATTCTGCATAACTTTCAGCCACCATGATTCAAGATGATCCAAGGGTCCAATTGTCGGGTGCTTGACACTTCTCAGCTCTGCCAAGTCCGTGGCCTGGGATTTCGGATTTCAGCACAAAGACATCCTGTCCTGGGAAGGCCTGGGCGCACTTGGAGAATGTGTCGACCCAACAGTTGAGAGAGCTCCAAAATTTTATTCTAACCTTTTAACCCTATGGAGCGCCTATGGACATATACCTAAAATTCGCTCATCCCAGTCATAGTAACGAGTTCCAAACCGATCAACATAGCCAGGTGTGTCCAAAGGGACCGTGTTGCAATCGGCATCTCACACCGACTAAAGAACAAGAACAAGATATACCAGTGTCGATGGTTCCAATTCCTTCCAAAGTGATCAAGAACAGTGGGTCCATTCTTCCGAGTGGAGCTGGCATAAAATCGACGACCATGAAAACTGGTGCGGAACTGGCGCCTCGCAACCCACAAATCCATAGCCCTTACTGGGGTTGAAGGACTTGATTTCACCTCAGGTGAACCACAGACTCAGATCCCATCGCCGGAAATCTTGCGGAACACAAGATTTTCTACATCTTTCAGATAGAACAATTTTCCTGCACATGAAGCTCCCTGAGCCCTGTTGCCCCCGAACTGGAGTTTCCACACCATGATATGTGGCCTCTTCAGGAGGGACCATCACTTTCACATCCGTGGCCAGTTGTCCCTGCGAACTGAGTCATGGCAGGGCTGACGCTCGAAATATGAGGTTTTTGGGACTGGAAGAGCACTCACTTTGTGACGGCTTTTTGTTCATCCTTTGAACGACCCAAGGACTGGATCGATACTCACACATTAAATGACATCATAATGACATCAAATGGCTACAAAGGATGGTGGGCGGCCTTCTCACCCTGTGTGACATTGAAAGCAACCTTCATGCCCTTGGAGAGGCAGTAGCCTCCACATTGACGCCTGGGGCTGCAAGGCATCGGTTTCTGGGCAAATCTGAGTCTGGAGTCTGATCTTTGATACAGGGTCCGAGATGATCCACATTCCAATTGGAAGCAACCAAAATCGACCGATTTACGTATGGTATTCTTTTATATTGGAACCATTAGGCATGACCTGTGAAGATTTTTGGCGCACAAACTTCTAATCAAAATACCATCGATTCAACCTCGTCCAAGACCAGTGGACGCCTTTCATGTTGATCTCCTACTTCATTGGGAATGCCAACTGGGACCAGCAACCAAGTGCGGGTGCTGGGCCAATGGCCATGGCCAGCAAATGGCTGCGGTCAGGGAGTCACTTCTCAAAGCAAAACATTCATGAAGCAGCATTTCAATATGTATTTCAGAATGGATGGTACCAATCCCAAACATAGCGATGGGGTGAACTTGCCTCGTCACCAAAAAAGACCAACTCTGGGCCATTGGCTTGAGAGGTAGTTATCAAATGCCCAATTCTTGGTCAAACTCCTTGAACTCAAAAACCCGTGCCTGTTGACAAAGACATCTTGACCATTGCATTCGATGAAGCCCCAACCCTGCGGCAGGAATGAACTTGCTTATGAAGAAACAAACAATGGTTGCCTACCAAACAATTCTGTACTTGACACAAGATAAACACCTATAACTCTACTGATTTCTACATCTTTATCCCAATCGTTTCAACTTTATGTTGCCAACCTACAGCCCTCCTAGCCCTGTATGTTGCCACCTACAGCCCTCCTAGCCCTGTATGTTGCCAACCTACAGCCCTCCTAGCCCTGTATGTTGCCAAGCTACAGCCCTCCTAGCCCTGTATGTTGCCAACCTACAGCCCTCCTAGCCCTGTATGTTGCCAACCTACAGCCCCTCCTGTAGCCAACCTACAGCCCTCCTAGCCCTGTATGTTGCCAAGCTACAGCCCTCCTAGCCCTGTATGTTGCCAACCTACAGCCCTCCTAGCCCTGTATGTTGCCAACCTACAGCCCTCCTAGCCCTGTATGTTGCCAACCTACAGCCATCCTATGTATGTTGCCAACCTACAGCCCTCCTAGCCCTGTATGTTGCCAACCTACAGCCCTCCTAGCCCTGTATGTTGCCAACCTACAGCCCTCCTAGCCCTGTATGTTGCCAACCTACAGCCCTCCTAGCCCTGTATGTTGCCAACCTACAGCCCTCCTAGCCCTGTATGTTGCCAACCTACAGCCCTCCTAGCCCTGTATGTTGCCAACCTACAGCCCTCCTAGCCCTGTATGTTGCCAACCTACAGCCCCTAGCCTGTAAGCCCCTGTGCCCTTATGTTGCCAAGCTACAGCCCTCCTAGCCCTGTATGTTGCCAACCTACAGCCCTCCTAGCCCTGTATGTTGCCAACCTACAGCCCTCCTAGCCCTGTATGTTGCCAACCTACAGCCCTCCTAGCCCTGTATGTTGCCAACCTACAGCCCTCCTAGCCCTGTATGTTGCCAACCTACAGCCCTCCTAGCCCTGCATGTTGCCAACCTACAGCCCTCCTAGCCCTGCATGTTGCCAAGCTACAGCCATCCTAGCCCTGTATGTTGCCAACCTACAGCCCTCCTAGCCCTGTATGTTGCCAAGCTACAGCCCTCCTAGCCCTGTATGTTGCCAAGCTACAGCCATCCTAGCCCTGTATCTTGCCAACCTACAGCCATCCTAGCCTTGTATGTTGCCAACCTACAGCCCTCCTAGCCCTGTATGTTGCCAACCTACAGCCCTCCTAGCCCTGTATGTTGCCAACCTACAGCCCTCCTAGCCCTGTATGTTGCCAACCTGCAGCCCTCCTAGCCCTGTATGTTGCCAACCTGCAGCCCTCCTAGCCCTGTATGTTGCCAACCTACAGCCCTCCTAACCTTGTATGTTGCCAACCTACAGCCCTCCTAGCCCTGTATGTTGCCAACCTACAGCCCTCCTAGCCATGTATGTTGCCAACCTACAGCCCTCCTAGCCCTGTATGTTGCCAACCTACAGCCCTCCTAGCCATGTATGTTGCCAAGCTACAGCCCTCCTAGCCCTGTATGTTGCCAAGCTACAGCCCTCCTAGCCCTGTATGTTGCCAAGCTACAGCCCTCCTAGCCCTGTATGTTGCCAACCTACAGCCCTCCTAGCCCTGTATGTTGCCAACCTACAGCCCTCCTAGCCCTGTATGTTGCCGACCTACAGCCCTCCTAGCCCTGTATGTTGCCGACCTACAGCCATCCTAGCCCTGTATGTTGCCAAGCTACAGCCCTCCTAGCCCTGTATGTTGCCAACCTACAGCCCTCCTAGCCCTGTATGTTGCCAACCTACAGCCATCCTAGCCCTGTAAGTTACCAACCTACAGCCCTCCTAGCCCTGTATGTTGCCAAGCTACAGCCCTCCTAGCCTGTTTGTTGCCAACCTACAGCCCTCCTAGCCCTGTATGTTGCCAACCTACAGCCCTCCTAGCCTGTTTGTTGCCAACCTACAGCCATCCTAGCCCTGTATGTTGCCAACCTACAGCCCTCCTAGCCCTGTATGTTGCCAACCTACAGCCCTCCTAGCCCTGTATGTTACACCAACCTACAGCGCTCCCAGCCAAGCTACAGCTCTCCTAGCCCTGTATGTTGCCAACCTACAGCCCTCCTAGCCCTGTATGTTGCCAACCTACAGCCCTCCTAGCCCTGTAAGTTACCAACCTACAGCGCTCCCAGCCCTGTATGTTGCCAAGCTACAGCCCTCCTAGCCCTGTATGTTGCCAACCTACAGCACTCCTAGCCCTGTATGTTGCCACCCTACAGCGATCCTGCCCCTGTATGGTGCCAACTCACAGCGATCCTACCCCTGTAAGTTGCCAACCTACAGCGCTCCTAGCCCTGTATGTTGCCTCCTTGATCTTCCAATCATTCCAATCCTGATTTTTTTCAGCTTTAAAAAGGTGTGGAATCCCCGTTGAACAGTCAATCTTTCCGACCATTTGGTCAGTTCCCTGCCTTGTGGGGGTTGTAGGAGGTGACTGTTCCACTCACCGCCATGCTAAAAACCTCGACTGATCAGCAAATGTAACTTGTCATGGGATACCATTTATGAAGAAAGGATCCAACCACAAACTTATATGGGAGATGGATCAACAGAAACGTATGGAGAATACTAAACAAACATGGGAGGTCTCAGCAGTGAATACATCTGACCAACAAACAGCGAGGGTTATCTAAGGGGGATCCGAACAGATTCTTGTTCGCATGAAATAAGGTATAGAACCAGATAGTGAGGGTCTACAATGTGAGGCTTGTTTTTTGAGAAATTTCGCCCAATCATTGCTGTGTTACCGACACAAGTAGCTTACACAGGAATATGATTTGAAGCAACAACAAAACGAGAAATGACCAACAAGAATGAAGATATAATCAGCTGATATTTCCAAGGTATACTCATCATTGTGGCAAAATCAGAACTATATAATATACCAAATCTTACATCCACTTATCGGCTGAGAAAAGGCCGGGCGCTTTAATCTCACCACAAAGCAGCTTAGCACCAAACTAGATTTGATCTCCCACCAGTGCGCAAAGCCTTTGTCAACATGCTGACCCGATTGGCATGCAAATCCAAGTTGGAGGAAGGACATCCGATTTCATGATCAACCTCTGTCAATTAAATCAATTAAATCATCACTGTTTCCTCCAACACCCCGTTGATCCCCGTTGATCCCCCTGGAAATCTTGCCATAACAACCCCCCTGACCATCCAAGGTACCTCGGATTTTGTTCTCTTTGTGATGGCTCAATACGCCCAACCCGGCTCGAGCCAATGATCACCCAAACATCACATGGCGACAGAATCTTCGTTCAACGAATCATTCAGTCACTACAAAGTACTCCTTCTATGGTCGTACCAAGTGCTATTCGTTCTTTGGGTGGCAGTATGTTTTTTTTGCAGGGAAAGTCCCAATCAACTTCGACAAGATTCGACAAGATTCGACAAGCACCCGTTTCACTTGTTTCACTCATGCTTACATGCTACCTGAGACCTGTCTCAACCTTTCACAGCAGACTGTAGATCTGCATCCCAAGTCTTGGAATAGACTGTCCTATCTGGCTGGACCACAAGAATTCACCAACCTGAGACAAGGTTATTTTGGAGGGGTTGCCCATATCATCTATATATATATATATCTATATATACACATACACATACACATGTACAAATCTATAAGCCATCATCTATGGTGACATCGAAAGTGCAGATGATTGGAACTCCGTCTCGGGGCCATTCCCTTTTTTCGGATGCACTGCGCGTCAACCAAGACTACCAAACCCCTCAAGGGGTGCAGCTGCCAAAAGGCTTGGAAGGGCAACACGGACACTGCTGTGGTTTGCTTGTTTTGATTGTAGGGTCATTTTGCGCTTGGTAGATCCCAAGATATCCCTAGGGGATACTAGGCTGCCTCATCAAGAACCATCAGATCTTCCACATAGGATTATACACACCCAGGTTGCCATTAAGAACACTCCGAAACCTGCATTTTTTCGAGATCCGGTGGTATGTCAAAAGTTGGGGTTTGAGTCCTGAGATTCAAGGGGCAACTCATGTTGTCTGTTGTGGATCCTTGCACTTGCTCGTGTTGCATCGTGGCAGCTGCACCACAAAGACCATCATACAAAGGAACACACACACGAGTTGCGCATCTCTTTGAAGCTTCTCCCGGCGGCCGATAGGAGATGATATATGAAAAAAACCAACTGAGGCAACAATCATGGACAATGCACTAAAGACTTTGTATATATATATATACATACATAATTATACATATATATATATATATACATATATATATACATATATACATATATATCTATATATATATGTTTATGAATTCCAGGAGAGCGACATACTGTGCCTGAAGCGACACAGACGGTCGGACGCCAGGTGAAATACGTTACAAAATCCTTGATAGCATTGGGCATCTGGCTGTCCAAACACCTTTCTTTTTCTATTGGAGCCGCCCCAGTAGCGAGCCGCTCTAAGTCTAGTGATTTAAAATGCCGTGCTCCAATCTCGAACCAAAACTGGATGCTTGTACCTGCTGTTGGAGCACAGCTTAAGAGATCAGGCTCATGCCGGTGCCGCCTCCTCCTGGAATTGGAAATGGTGGGAGGCCATGATGATAGAAATTCATCCTCAATGTTTGAAATAGCCACTCTCACCTATCTGCTCTGAATTTCAGTATTTACCGCAAGCGAGCCTTGCATATCTGCTGGCATCTCAAGACTGTCTCAATCATGTTCACCAGTCCTACACCTGACAACACTTATAAGTAGGTGGCATATGTATATATATATATATATTTATAATACACATGTATATATATATATATGTATATACATGTATATTCTATTATATTCTCATCTTGAAAGATCCGCCTATTTCACAATCGGATCTCAATCTCCTTCGGGGCTTTGACCCAAGCATCTACCTGGATGGCACCACCTCCCAACGCTGACCTGGGCGGTTCCAATGTGGGGAATGTTGGATCGTTTCGGGATTCCCCATATGGAAACCAATGGAAACCAATGGAAACCATCATGGAAACGTCTCCTGAATCTAGTCGAAGTAGCACTGAAAAATAGATCTGTTGACACGGCAAGCCATTTATTTTACTTTACCAGAACATCTTCAAAGTTGATTTTGATCCTCCATTCTCGTTGCATCGGTGGTTTCTCCCAATGTCAACACTGGGCATATAGCCTCTTTTGCCAACAAGATTTAGTTTTTGCTACCATCATGTTACGGTTCCACATTTGCTAAATCCCCCAACATTGATGAACTTAAGAAATCTATCAGGTAATGAAATCCATCCCATCAGGTAATGGATCTATTAGAAATGGATCCCCCAAAGCTTCTGAAATCCATCAGAAACTGGACCCATCCCATCCCGTTCAATGCGCCGCACCCGTCGAGGCTGGCGATGGCTTGTGCCACCTCTTCGGCCGAGCTGTAGGCAGCGGTGCCGGTGCCTGCACCTTTGCCCTGGCAGTTTTCATCCCTGATCCCAGGGAAAGGATATCTCAATGAGACTCTCCAGGAATTCACCAATTCACCATCATCCAGAAACATTTGGCTTCGTCTCAAAATAGAGTATCGCAAATCTGCAACTGTTAATCTAATATGCCGAATTTTTCTTATGTTGGTCATGCATCCTATTTTTTCATCCCTATAAAATAAGGTGGTTAGTTTTGTACCCCCGTATCTTTTTTGCTTAAATCCTCAAGTACAAGTGTTGGACAGAGCCACTTCTCGTTGGAGAGTATCCGTACATCTGTTGCCTGCTATGGATTCATTGGGAAATATCGAGATAACATATGGTAAAATAACCAATTTTCACCCCCTTTTGGATATCATTTACCTATACTGGGCTGCAGCGTTAGCACCGTTAGCACACCGCCGCACCTCAAAGACTTCCACCCACTTGGTCTTTCCCACCTGATTCATGTGCTCCTGCAGCAAAGATTCCAGTGATTTTAAGAAAAAGTGGGATGTTGGCCAACAATCCATTGAAAACTGAAGTTTGAACTGTTTGAACTGTTTGAACTGTTTGAACTGTTTGAACTGTTTGAACTGTTTGAACTGTTTGAACCAAGCAAGTTTTATACCCATTAATAATGATCCATCTTCCTGAGTTGTGATGATGACCCGAGATCTCCGCACAAGGTGCGCCCTCAGTTCCAATGCTACACCCTGCTGTCCTGCAGTTCCTGACCAGGCAGTTGTGGGATGAAGGTAGCATTGGCAGCACTACACGGGATGTTTACAAGGGCTGTGAAAGCTTTACCTGAGGGAGGAACAATCTAAATGTGTAGAATTTCCTGGAAGATCTTCAGGTACAATTGAGCAACCTGTCCATTTTTTGCTCATGTATCTTGGAAGTACGTCCCCATAGACTTAAAACTCATTTTGGGGTAGTCTCTGCTGTACCATCCACTCTCCACACATGCTCCAACATGCTACCCAAGAGTTTGCACAAAAAATCTCCACATGATGCACATGTATACCGGGAGACATGGCTCCTCTTCGAAAACTCCTTTTTATCCCAAAGAAGACATCATGAGAACTGTTGGCTTCACAACTAAGGCCGTTTTTTTTTGCGCGTGTTTGTCAGCTTGTTGCAGTACCCTCTGTGGTGTAGTGCACTTCAAACAAACAATTTTTTTTGGAAACAAACACACATCCTGCCCCAAATCCGCAGCAAACTGCCCGCCCAGGGCCCATCTCAACTCCGCTCCGCGCCTTCCAAGTGATTCCTGGCCTCGGTTTGTGAGGCACTTTCTCATCGTTCTCCACGAGATAAGCAGAGAAACAGAAACCACAAAGACATGCACAGAGAACTGAGATCTGCAGCCACCCATGGATCTTTTGACCCCAAAGTCTTTTCCTCAAAGCCATCTAGCCATAGCACATATAGCAACCGCTTCAGGTTGGGATCATCTGACGTTTTGGATGGGTCTGGCTCCAAAATATTCCCCCAGACTCAGTAACTGGATCCATTGGGGATATTCAGGGATATGTACCTATCTATGAATGCATACATCTAGACATAGAATGTATATATATATATATACATATACATACACATGTATGTATGAATGAATTAATGTATGTATGCATGCATGCATGTACTCTATAATCTGGGAATACATATATAATATCTATGCATGATATATATATATATATATATATAATATACAGATATAATATTATCATATATCTATCTATGTATATAATATTACATATTATATATATGGTGATGTCTCAAAATGAGGTGCCTTTCTGTTTTGAACAGTACCCATGTCGCCAAGGCACGGGATGCCGCCGATCCACACCTGGCCGGCATCATAGATTGTTGATGGGGATGGTAACATCACCAGTGGCTATATATATTAAACAGCCAATGTTTCACCAATGATATACTATATCATATGCTACATCATATAATTTATATATCATACTAATACGTATATACCATAGATATACTTTATAAAAAATCTATATACTATGTATATACTATAGATATAGTGTATAATATTCATACATATCATATACACTATAGATATATGTAGGATATTCGTATTAGTACAATACTATCAACGGCGCCTTCTCCGATGGATCCACCCGTGGGCCCTTGCCCTTGCCCTGGCGGAACGGCAAGGACCGGCAAGGACCGGTAAGGACCGGTGGATTCCTGGATGGAATGCCTCAAATCTAAGATCTTTAATATCTAATATTTATAAAATATCTATAATATACAGTAGATATTTTATGATATAGTATATCTTTTTAGAGCCACTTCATTTCGAATTTCTACAGCGAATCATGAACATCTTCAACGCTTCAGACATTTAGAACATTGTTTAGCCATTCTGTCGCATTTGAGTCGCAGAAAATAAGATGCAAGAAATTTGAGGACACATGACAAATGCAAAAAGGCCAAGTGGGCCATGGCTGAACATTGGAGGATCTCAGTTGTTGATCTGTGAGGGCCATGTGGGTCATACGTTCCGGCCATCTGTCGAGCTGATTGCAGCTATGTAGTTGGACCTGAGGTATACTGGAAGCCGATGGAAGCCGCATAACCCCACCTTGCCCTTGCCAAAGCCCTTAAAACCGCCATAGAAGGCCATTTGCTTCATCTGCTGATACCTTCGGCTGAGCTTTTCTGTGGAAATGGACCAAGGGGTTCTCTACGTGTCCTAAGGTGTGATAGCCCACCAATGTACCTTTAAAGTCCTTGAGATTCTTGCACCAGCTGGCTGATCTGTTCGTTGCATTGGTGCAAAAAACTTGGATCGGCACACATCCATTCTCCAATTTTCGTGCGGAAATTCTTCCAATCATACCTGACTTTCCCTAGCTTTAACCCAACTTTTGACCACCCATCACCACCATGACTCTCTCCAAGGCGCTGATTTCCAGCGGCTCCAAGAAGCTGCACTTCTGTGGCAGCTGGACCTGGAGATCGGGATGTTCAAACGGGCACGAGATGATTGAAGTGACAGTTGGTGACAAGCTGTGGACATCGCACTTCGGGTGAACACTTGTGGAAGGCGCTTCTGTACCTGTGCCAGCTTCACCTGCAAAGTGTCGTGCCTTTTTCGCTATCGTTCTTCACCTTGAACTTGCAATGACCTCCACGTTTTAAGGGGCAACCCTTCAGGCTAAGCCAACAGGAATATTTCCTGTTTTGCCTTGTTTAGTTTGCAACTTCTCACATTGATCTTGGCAGATTCAAACAACAATATCTTCCAACATATCTTCTGTGAGGTCATCAGCAACCGGTTACAATCACGGGCTCCTAATTTCTGCTGAGTGGCTTAATCATCTGTTTCAGTGGTAGATAACCCAAACAGTTGGATGCATGGCTATAGCCCCGGGTATAATCCATGATCCAGTCATCCTTAAGCCACCAGGAGATATGGAAAGATGAGCACACCTGCCCTGTCAACTGAAGACCTGGAACTAGTGACTTACATGCATGAAAGCACATACCAACCCAAACAAAGAAGAACAACCACATGCACATATAATAATGATATGGGTGTTACAGGTATCCAGTGAATTAAATGTATTGCCGTATATATATATTTATGCTATCCAACACTGATAGATTTACATTTCAATCCATCCACTCTATCTATATACAGACTACAGACTCATCTTTTCCGGAACTCCATCTGCTTTCTCTCCGACCTCCTTGCGGCGCAAAGCCACCTGGAAATTCATAATGTGTCGGCGAAGTGGATACCGCTAAGATCATGAAAAAACACTCCCACCTTCCCAGTGTTACCAAAAGAAAGGCTCCAAAACTGCAGTTTCTGTCAATTTTCTCATCCATTTCACACATTTAAAACATTTCACACATTGTGGATGTATTGCCAGTGGGGCCAGTGGATCTTCCGGAAACTCCGAGGCGCCAGGGATTTCGGATTTGAGCACAAAGACGTCTTGCCCTGGGAAGGCCTCACCGTTTTTTGGGATGTGAGATTGCAGGTGAGATTGCAGAGGTGCCAAATGGTGCCAAATGGTGCCAAATACAAGAATCTCTTGAATCTCTTGGAGCAAACCTTTTTTTTGTCTGATTAAGAACTATAACCCCAGCTTGAGAACATGAGGTCGATTTTGGGCCAAGTTTGCCAAGATTGTCTGGCAGCAAGGAGAGATGAAAGTCAGACTTTCTCACTTTTGGTGTCAAGTGCACGAGTGCCTGTTGAGATTCCACTTGCGGTCCTGCCTCACAACCAACGAATCCATAGCCCTTGTTTGGGTTGAAGGACTTGATTTCACCTGAGCCAAGGATGACTTAAAGTTGCTCAAACTGCGTGTGTTGGATGGGTCTAGCTGGCAAAAAGCATGTAATCCCACATTGTTTCATCGTTTGGTCAGGCAAAAACTCGGCAACAAACCCGGCATAAAAACATTGGGTGTTTTCCAAATCCTCACCATTGTCTTCCCAAAGCCATATCATAGTTTTTGGGTTTCCTGTGTTTTCTTGCTGAGATCGCCATTTCCAGCAACAACAAACATCAAACATCAAGATGCAGAGGTTTGTCTACTTTAATTGTTGGGCCAAATTTTCCAGCTTCTTTCCCAGCCAAAAGAAACACATCTTTCCACCATCTTTCCCAACCAAAATCAGCATTTTCAGCTCCGCACCGTGATACATGGCTTCCTCTGGGGGCACCATGACTTTAACATCGGTGGCCTGTTGTCCCTGGCAACGACGTTGGGAAATTGAGGTGAAAAGTCATGGTTTTGATATAGTTTATCCATCGAATAACTGAGATCTGCGAAAGGAACAACGAGTTTTTGGAATATTGACTCCATTTGAAACCGGCCATGGTTTTGGTGCTACGGCTGATGTATTTTTGCTGGGCGTGTCTCAAAAGCTGAAGACCTCAAAATAACACCCGTTTCATGATTTTCATAGGCCGTTTTTTAAATCTGGACAGCAACTCCTCTAGGCTGCTTCGAAGAAATCCAGTCATGTCCTATGGCCCTATGGTGAGTGGTTGTACTTATTGCTGGTGAAGCCCCTAATTTCATTGCGGTGACCTCGCCTTGTCTCCCTGCGTCACGATGAAGGAGACCTTCATGCCCTTGGCGAGGCAATAACCTCCGCACTGCCGCCTGGCATAGGTAACGGGGAAAAGTGGTCAAGATCGGGGTGTCCAAAATAACGAGATACCACTTTTTGCATATTTTATCCAAGTTATTGGTCATTCTTGATAGGGGAAACCAATGGTGATAAGGGGTACGCCAGTTGAGAATCTCTAAGATGATGTGGGTGAGAATTCCTCATCAAGTGATGGGTCCAGAATGTGGCCAAATACCGGCAGTGAATTTTGGTGGAATGTGGAATTTGCAAAACAGCCAACAGTCAGGGCTGTTGAAAACCCCGCTGAAACCAGAGGTCTTGGGGCATAGCTCCCAAATTACGAACCAACTAGGCAAACTAGTTGGACCTGCAGGATGACCAACTCGTCATTGATCTTTGTGGAAGTTCCAATGATGAGGGGGTAAAAGCATAGCAGAGGATATGTTCAATATGTATATGACTGTATATGCATATATGTTTACATATCCATTTTCCAATGTTATTGAAAACCATCACCTAGCGATTCCATCTTTTCGACGTGTCTGTCGTCTGTTCAAATCATTCCCTAACTCGCAGCCTGTTGACGAAAACGCCTTGGCCATTGCATTCGATAAAGCCCCATCCCTGCGGCGTCAGATGCGAAAATCTACAGTGGATTGTTGGATCAACAGGGCTAGTCCCAATGATTTGTCATGTGGTAAAAACAATAATCAACCATCCTCCCAAATTGCCATAGGTGGTGCAATCGCATTTTTGCGTTCTCGCTTTGGCCGCAGCCATGATGAACCTTCATCGGCCAAACGGCATGGAAAATCAGGAAATTCCACTTCATGGCTGGTGGTTAAATGCCCCAAAGATGCTTCCATCTTAGATCCCAAAATGTCACCATTCTCTCCCCAATTTCCAGGGTGAACTCCAGCAATGGCCTTGTGTGGGTTGTAGGAGGTCACCGTTCCACTCACCGCCATGGATACCTTGGGAGATGTCACGATGTCCTGAAAATCATTCTACTATGGATCTATGGTTTCATCACCATTGGAGGTGACACTTAGTCACTTTGACCAATGATGTATCTATACATATATATATATATATGTATATGTATGTATGTATGCATATGTATATATAAGATTATCTAAGTAACTTACCAAGCAAGATGGGAAAGAGTGGCTGCTTCATTCCATTTCCATTTCCTGGGCTTTTGTTGCCGAGGATTTTTCAAGAACTTCCCTCAGCATCCCAGCGCACCTCAGTTTTTTGGGCGATGGACTAGGCTCAAGCTGGAGCCAGTTGGCACACCGCGATCCAAAAAGTGCCATGAAACCAACATGGATCCCCTATAATATACAATATAATTGGACATAATATGATATAATACATATGATATAATATATTCATAAAATAATCTTGTGAGGAGCCACACTTCCAGTATCATTTCGTTGAGAAAAAAGTGGGTTTTTGCGGCTGACGCGCCATCTTTTTCGGCTGATTGTCAATCAAATTTTGGCCCTGAGCTGCCGGCGAAGCGCAACACTGCTGGGCAGCTTATGAAGACGAGCTCACATGGTGAGTTCTCTGGATTTCCCACATGCAAAAGCTGAAAGGCAATTCGCAGTTGCATTTGTTCGCATTGTATAAAGGCTCCTGGTTTCATTCCCAAACACTAGTTGTGCTCGTATAGATCAAACATCACAAATTCGGATGTCCCCCCCGAAAAAAGCAATTGAGCTGAATAGCCATGAAAAGTCCTTCAAAGGTTGATTGAACATATACCTGAACAGAAGTTTCCTGACCTTGGAAAGTAGAAACTTTGCCCTCAATCTGTACTGATTTCGTGAATTGTGAACTGATACTTCAATGATTCTACTGGCTGTCAAATATAGGGCCACTTTTTCGTCAAGTGAACCATGCGATCATCGGGACCTCCGTGAGGTCATGTGGAGTGTTGCACTTTCCGTATTTGTGTTGCATCACAGCTGCAACACAGTGACGGATCCTACAAGGGAACACACTCAAGTTGCGCATCTGTTTCACTGCTGGCGGTCGAAGTGAACAACTCTGGGTTGCTTCATGTCTGTTAAATCAGAGCATGAATGAAAACCAAATGTACAATAATTATCAATAATTAATATACATGATCACATGTTGTGGAGATAAACTCGATTCGACAGCACGACACCTTGCCATTGCGCCTGTGACCTAGATGGTCCGACTGAGGTGTTCCATCAAAATACGTTACAAAACCTGGCTGAGTAGAGCTGCCCTTTAAAGCACAGGGCTGTCTCTGGCTGAGTTCGCTCTACCTTTTAAGTTTGTTAAAGATGCTAAGCTGTGCTCCCCACCTCATCTGTTGTGAGGCATCACGAGGAACAATCGGATGTCCAATGTGTCTGTGCTTGATGTTCACAAGACAAGTCCCTTTGACTAACCAGTGGGATGTTTTGGGACTTCCAAGGTGATGCTGAAAATCATTGGGAAAAGATGGACAGTGGAGTTTCTTACAGAATTGTCACCAATAAAAAGCAAATCCTATGAGTGTTCTGACCCTCACTCCAGGTTCTACCATAGTCCAGCCACACTTGCTATTTTCACCAGCTATTTTCGCTTCGTACATTTTGGGCCACGAATTTGTCCAGTCGGTGGAGCACAGCACGCTGTAAAGAGATTTACGCCGGTGCGGCCTCCTCCTGCGGAAACGCTGAAACATCTCCCAAGGGAACACAGCAAACCAAGGAACAGAAAAAACCACCAGTCTGAGAGGAAAAATCTCCATTTTGTTCGCCTCTTGTCATCAGTTCAATGCTGATCCAATATGCTCCATGGAAAAATCCATCACACTTTTTGCATCGCCGCATCAAACATTGTATAAGAATTTATATAGACTATAGTACTATAGACTGTTATAGACTGTTATTGTTTGTTGGCAATCTTCCAAAGGTATGGCTCAAAATCGAAAAGCCTCGAACATTGGGAGCAATCTGCTAGGGCCACTGGGCCAACGTCGACCCCCCATCAGATTGGATGATGAAATCCCATCGCTTGCTGATCAAACTTCCCATCACTTGTTGGTGGTTTCAACCCATCTGAAATTTCTGGTTGTCATTTGTGATCATTATCCCATTTCTATGGCTGAAAATCGATTTGCTTTCACCACCGACCGGTTCACGATTGTGATACACCCATCAACTTCCATGGCAGTTGCTTCAACCCCCATATTTTTTGCAGCTATACTGGTTGGTGGTATACCTACCCCTCTGAAAAATATGAGTTCGCCAGTTGGGATGATGAAATTCCCAATATATGGAAAAAAAAACCTGTTCCAAACCACCAACCAGCTATAAATCCCTGAAATCCCCAATTTTTGTCGTTGCACTGCCAGGTTTTTCTCCCTGTCTCGCCTTGGGGGCTTTGACCCAAGCATCCACCTGGATGGCACCGCCTCCCAAGGTCGACCTTGGCAACCAGCCGCTTGGGCACATGGAAGTTCTGTTGTGGATATATATATATATATATTTACATAATTATATATACACAATATATTACATATATATATATTTATCTATTATTATATAATATAATATTAACTATATGATATATAGTGTACACACCGACATTGCCTTTGTATAGTGGGCCGTGGAAAACATGATTTGCCCGCGGATGACTATGTGTGCATAGATTGGCATAGATCATCCCCTAAGTGCATCGGAAAAGGTTTGGCGTTTTGGGATTCCCCCGGTTGATTTCCGATCCCAAAGAACACAGCTGCAGCTTGCCATTTTGGGTGACCAGTTCCAACCCCTACAGTAACGGTCGTCCTCAACCAACCCCATTTCAACCAAGAACTACATCGAAGTTTTCCCAATTTCCGACAAAATCACCAAGGGATGGCGGCTGGGTCACCCGTTGAGGGTTGCGATGGCTTGTGCCACCTCTTCCACAGAACTGTAAGCTGCAGTGCCGGTACCAGCACCTTTGCCCTGGTGACGGATGGAAAGGGTCCTTGGGGGGTCCTGGCGATTTCCAAGTTCTTCTTTTTTTTGTGCATATATATATATATATACATACATATTTGATACACTATAAAAATGTGTACATGTATATATATATATACATACACGTAATTATATATATTTCTATGGGTAATTGGAGGGTCTGTGTGTATATATAATATAATATATATATAATATAATATTATTGATGTATACATGTGTACAGGTACTTTAAAGTAATTCTCCTTGACATCAATGCTTGTCTGGATGTTTGCACAGATTGCCAGGTTCGCTTTACCCTGATGCCAACCATTTTGAGGCTGCGCCACAGCTCCAACTTTTCGTTGGGAAACAATGTGAAACATGGATTTCTGCTACTCATATTACTCATGTCAGCAATTTCTGCCGCTTCAGAGTCGGCCTCGAACACCTCAACCCACTTGGTCTTGCCCACCTGGTTCATGTGCTCCTGGGGTTTACATGGATTTTGTCGAAGATTTTCATGTGAAACCCATGTGAGACACTTTTTTTGTGTTCCCCAAAACCAGATAAAACCAGAGGATATCCGAAAATGCTCTGCTCAATGGAGCTGTCTGGAGATTCAGCAGCAGATTTCCCCGGTCCTGCAGTTCCTTGGCGCAGGGGTGGCTTTCAGAAGCTGGGGTGGTCCGACATTGGAAGCATCACCCAATCTGCAGCTGAAACAAATCAGACCCCACCGGTATCCCATCGACATCTTCCGGCTCCGGGTCTCCGAACCTTCCAGGAGGTGCCCGGCCTGGGCAACCCGGTGGCTTTGGGACTTGCAACAATCCTGTGATACTGGGGATAACAACCAAGACGAGATGTGGATAGTATATGATAGTATCAATCTTGCCACTTCTGGAAATGAACCAAAGTAAAGATTGTGACACCTATACAGTATCTATACATCATATCAGAAGCCTTGGAAACCAGGAAAATTGTTGCGATATGGCTATGTTGCACAAACTTGTTACACGTACATTTACGCAACCAGAAATACACAGCTTCAGTGGTCCCCATTTTTTGGAAACCACTTGGACCCATCCAACCAAGGCGCGAGATGCCACCAATCCACACCTGACGACCGGCACAAAAAATGGAACCTGGGCCCCAGTACATAGCATCAATGTTTTAAACACCAATCGAAACCCTGGTGGAATGTTATTGAACCAATCTATAACCAATCTATAAATTGGAGTCTGATCAGTCTGATCCCATTTGTTTGGGGCGTTCTGTCATGGAGGATTCCATGCGATCCCATGGCGCCTTCTGAGACGGATCTACACGTGGGCCCTTGCCGCCCTTGAAGAAGCCCTGGCGTCCCGGTGGAATCCGTTGGGGATCAAGCCATCTGTGATAAACTTGGGGTGAAACTGGAGGGTTGAGTCGCGACTCAAAACGTGTGGTTCGCTTCAATCATTCACTGAAAAATCTGAGGACTTCATGAAAATATGACAGAGAGTACTTCCTAAGTAAGGCATCAGTTGGAGAACTCCACGTGGCACCAGAAGAAGTCATCCCAGCGAACCCGGCAGACCATGCCTTGCCCTTTCCGAAGCCCTTGAAACCGCCATAGAAGGCTAGTTGCTTCATCTGCTGGTACCTTGGCGACACATGAAAGACAGTTCTGTGAATGACCTCTAACATCCTCTAACGCTCTTGTTGTTCAATGTGAGGCTTAACTTGCTTCACTCTTAATTTTAATGTCGAATGTTTTCTAGGCAATGATGATAACTTGAATTAGTATTTTTGTTGCGTTCATTGCTATCCTCACGATGGATATTACAGAAACACATGACTTGTGGCATCGCTGCAAAATACAATAGCTTCCTCTCAAACTTCCCAAATGTTTTTGCGCCACCTTCGAAAGCACCCTAAGGACAGGGAGCCGCTGACCTTGTTTAATCACCAGTATGGTTCCACACTGCATTGCTCTGGATCCAAGGGCTCAAGGTTTGTCAAATTCGTGAGATGGTGGAACTCTTCATTCCATTTCTGGATAGAAAGATGTATCCTTTCGAAGCAAGACCACCTACCTACCCAATTCATATCACCAATTATCCCCCACTGAACCACATTGTCAACTCATAAATTCATCTCAGGGAATTTCAGGGTCCAACCATACAAGTAACTACCCAACCTTGACAAAGTATATGCTACCCCAATCCCTTGGCTAATCGCCCCATTCCCCTTTTTGAATTGCCTTTCCAAGGCACAAACACGTGTTGAACAGTGACCTGTTCCCCATTTAATTGTTGGTGCTTCATGGTGCTTCTATCCCCTATCAACGGTTGTCTGGTGCTTACCCAAGTACCACCCAACTATTTTGCTGAATCTCCATCTGCCGTGCTGCTGATTTCCCGCGGCCCCGAGGAGCTGCACTTCTGTAGCAGCTGGACCTGGCAACACCAGGGGATGGTTCATGGCATCGTGAGCCCCACTTAGGATGATAATTTGATGGCGATTCCAATGATTCCAAGTTATGGCAGCTTCTTTGATCATTCAATTTTGTAGCCAAACCCGATACAAATTACAGTGATCAATGGGGAAACCAATGGTGAAAAGGTAGGGGGCCCAATGTTGAGAAATACCTGCAGATCATTGGGTGAATCGTCACCTTTGGAATTTGAATCTCCTGGAGATATGAAAGGATGTGACTGGTTGGTGGTATACCTACCCCTATGAAAAATATGAGTTCGTCAGTTGGGATGATGAAATTCCCAATATATGGAAAATAACACATGTTCCAAACCACTAATGAGGTGATCTATTGGTACCTAATACCCCTGGATTTAATTGGGACGAAATTCCTCCATGCCTGGCAATTTCTTTGATTCCTCGCTGGAGCTCAGCAGAAATTGGGCTGCAAATTTTGGGTCCAAAATAGCCTTCTTTCATGATCTGTTCGAACGTTTGTTCCATCCCCATCTTGCAGATCCGCGCAATGATTGCATGCGGTAAAACCGGAAACAATGCTTTATAACATGCCCCAGAGAAAAGAATAGGCATGGTGTATGGTGTATGATTGGCTTTACCACGTCGGGCTTTGTAATGCCGTCCAGGTGATGCACAGGTGCTAGTCTCCATCACGTCGCACCTTTCTCACTGTCAGTCTTCACCTTGAATTTGCAATGGCCTTCGCAAGAACAGCCGGCCATGTTGATTTCATAATGAAACTCAAAGATCTCTCAAAATTCTCTAAATTCCAACGCCTGTACCAAAAGGAATTGCCCCCAGTAACATCTAGAGTCTACAGTATGTGAAAAACTTTTTCAGCTGGACTGTCACAAGGTCGAACTCACCATGTTCAATGCACTGGACGGTTTTCTCTCAACCTCTCAACCCATCCTGCCTCCCTGTGGGGCGAATCCGCCTGAGCAAAGGCTGTTCTGGCGGTCAATCATTGGGAGATCTCTCAGAAATTTGATGCTTCGCAGCCAAGAATTACGCATATCGGTGGTTTCTGGGCACCGTAAAAGTCTTGATCCACATGGGGGACCACTCTACAGAAGATCGGATCAAAATCTCTGGGATTCTGCGGAGGAAATTCTTGGGGATGTCCCCATGGAAGCATACAGGTTTTACCCTTGGTGAATCGACCAAAGTGGAAACGCAGTTTGAATCGGAGCCTGAAATTTCCATTGGAATTATCATCTTTAAGTGTTCCGGTATGCAAAATCCAAGTGGCCAGGGATTTCGGACTTGAGCACAAAGACATCTTGCCCTGGGAAGGCCTCTCAGTGTGGAGAGCATCTGTGAGAACAAGAAGAGGGTGGTTATTGCAGCAACCAGAAAAAAGGCTAGCTTTCCAAACCCAAATCGATCAGGTGAATGACTGGGAAACTAGATCCCAAATAAGGCAACAAACAAATACCAAGAGTTCTTCAAAAAGTCGACCTTTTCCCGAAAACACATCTTCATCGACAGCGGTCTATCTATGACTCGACGTGTCGTTTCACAGGAATTGTATGTATATGTATATCCAACCAGAAAAGCAATCAGGGAATCTGCCGAACTTGTCGCAAGGAAGCCTCGCAACCCACAAATCCATAGCCCTTGGTGGGGTTGAAGGACTTGATTTCACCTTGGCACTGCTGCAAAACCCCTATACCATTCTAGAATTCCACCATGGTTCAATCCATGTTTTCTGCCAAGATTGGATGTGAAAACAACAGCGACCAATCTGTGTAATTATTGCAGTGATCAGGCTCTGCTTCTTACACGTACCTTCACATACCTGCGGTGTTTACACAATGTGGCTCAAGCCAATGTTTCTGGCTTTCAAAGCATACATCGTACTGGGATGTTGGAATCTCAAGCTGACGGGGAACGACATGGTAACCTAATCTACCTACAAGAAACACATGAATTTTGCACAAATTTTGAACATGCTTCCGAATCATTCCCGAATAATTCAATGGATCAAAGACAGCCATGATAGGTGACTTCCCAATCGAACCAAAGGTATTTCGCCCAAGGGATGGATCAACGACTTGCCATTTCCTGTTCTTATCATGTTCTGCCAAATTGGCGAAATTCCACCCATCCACCCAAATCCACAACTTTGGCAAAAATGGAATTTTCACTGAGATCCGATGATTGCTTCACCTCCCATCCAAAAAAATCGTTCGAAATCGAAGCACCAGCCATCTTTCGGGTGCTGATAGGTTTCCCAGCCATGATAGGTGGCTTCCTCCGGTGTCACCATGACCTTCACTTCCGTGGCCTGCTGGCCCTGGCAGAAAAAAAGGGTGAGATCTTGGAAGCATGGGAAAATCATGGGAACATCGTGGGTCTATCACGAGAAAGCTGATCAAAGCTATACCGAAAATAGTTATCGAACTGACCGAAAACACTGATGTACCTGATGTGCGATCATGACAATTTACAAACCAGTGTCATTTCTATTGTCCTCCTCCTCTTCCTCCCCATCATCATCAACAATAGCAACAACTACAACTGGTGAAACACAGGAAACTCACAGCGGTTCATTAACCCACAGAACGATTTGGAAGACATGGATACCTTTCCACCATCCATGGGATATCCAGTCAAATTTGATTCCAAACTTTTCATAATTAATTGACAATGGCAACAAAACCACTAGCACTCATGTTTTTTTTCATCATCACCCGAAAAAAGATGAAAAAAGGAGTTGAAGATTTTTCACACATCTTTAGCATCAGCCACCAATTCCGGATACCCCCTGGTAAATAAACATAGACCCTGAAAATAGCCAGGATTTTAATGGAAACTAGTCTTCCAACCCCAACAACTACCAGGGTCTATGTCAATTTACCAGAGGGTACCCAAAGATGGAGGAACCCACATTACCGTGCTGCCAATGTCCAACGATCCCAGGGGGGCTCCCCATGGTGCCTTCTCGCCCTGCGTGACGTTGAAGGCGACCTTCATGCCTTTGGAGAGGCAGTAGCCTCCGCACTGACGCCTGGCCACGTGTTGTTTGGTGTTGAAGGGAATTTGATGTTGCTTGATGTTGCTTGAGGGAAGCTGGACTTTTAGGGGCGTATCCCAAAATTCCGTGGACTAGAGGGACTAGAACATGATTTTCCTGGATTGGACTGCCTATTTTGGGATGTGCCATTCTCACCATTTTGACACCAAGAAATTGTCCCCTTGGTCGGCTATTGCAGTGACCATCCTTGGACGGTCTCAAATCTTGATCCCAAATCATCGCCCAGCGCCGATGCGCCTGTTGACAAAGACATCTTGGCCGTTGCATTCGATGAATCCCCATCCCTGCGACATGATACTGGGGCAAGACATGGCAAGACTATCTGATCCTATCAATCTATTGACCTAGGATTCATGTTTATTCCATGTTTATTCCCTAACTCGGCAGAAGGTTTTCATCACAAGCATCGGGGCGATGATCCCATCAACTAATGGGATCCAGAGTCAATTTCTGGCCATATTTCCTGGGGATATTCCCTAAAACATAGGCCTTACATAGGCCTTATATATATATATATGGTAGGTACCTCCAATCAATCGGTTCCTGAGATGGCCATCGACAGAGTGACCTCATTTTTCTTAGAATCTATCTCATCAAGTTGACTGTTTATACTTTTATACCCATTCAAACTCCAACAAACACTACATCAAGTGAATCGGGGTGGTTTTACCACCCTACCAGAGTAGTCATCAACTTCATTTTGGAGGAAATGTATGGAAATGTCATATACAAACCTCTGATAAACGCCATCAAACCCACCTTATGGGGGTTGTAGGAGGTCACTGTTCCGCTCACCGCCATCACCACCTCCGGCAGAAGTCGATAGGTTTATTGGAGAATCAGTGTGATCATAGTAACATAGACCCGGGCAAGCCGGCGGCGGAAGTTTCCCAAACATAAATGACCTATAGTTCAAAGACATCCTGTCCCGACCGTGTCTTTCCCTCGACACTCCACACCTCACACTGCACACTGCACTCTTCGCACTCCAAACTTCAAACTTCACACTCCACACTTCTCACTTCTCACTGCTTCCTTCACACTCCAAACCTCACACTTCACACTTCACACTTCACAGTCCACACTTCACACTTCACAGTCCACACTTCTCACTGCTTCCTTCACACTCCAAACTTCACACTTCTCACTTCGCACTTCACACTCCACACTTCACACTCCAAACTTCACACTTCTCACTTCACACTTCTCACTTCTCACTGCTTCCTTCACACTCCAAACTTCACACTTCTCACTTCGCACTTCACACTCCACACTTCACAGTCCACACTTCACACTTCTCACTTCTCACTGCTTCCTTCCCACTCCAAACTTCACACTTCACACTTCTCACTTCGCACTTCACACCCCACACTTCACTCACACTTCACACTTCACACTTCTCATGTCTCACTTCTCACTGCTTCCTTCATACTCCAAACCTCACACTTCACACTTTACACTGCGCTCTTCGCACTCCAAACTGAAACTTCACACTCCACACTTCACACTTCACAGTCCACACTTCACACTTCTCACTTCTCACTGCTTCCTTCACACTCCAAACCTCACACTTCACACTTCACAGTCCACACTTCACACTTCTCACTTCTCACTGCTTCCTTCACACTCCAAACCTCACACTTCACAGTTCACACTGCGCTCTTCGCACTCCAAACTGAAATTTCACACTCCACACTTCACACTTTTCACTTCCCACTGCTTCCTTCACACTTCACACTTCACACTTCACACTTCCCACTGCTTCCTTCACACTTCAACGCCAGAGCAGAAAAAGTTGATTTGAAAAAGCAGCCAAAATCTAAAAGATCCTTTTTTTGTCACATGTATGCAATACGATCATGGTTTCTTGTGCGGTTCGTAACAACGCACACAGAAACCAAAATTAAGTGACAGAGGCATTCTGCCGTCTGCAACTCGACATGAAAAGCGAAGTTACTGAAGCACAGCAATTCAGACTCGGATGCGGTTCACAACAACGCACACCCAGCCCTCGGCAGTCAAACTAGAGTTGATCCCTCTGCGGCAAGATCACGTACTGTTGCTGTGCAAGATGTTGAGCCATTCTGCGCACTGAGCTTTGGTACCAGAGACTCGCACTCCACACTTCACACTTCGCACTCCCCACTTCACACTGCACTCTTCGCACTCGAAACTTCACACTTCACACTTCACACTCCACACTTCGCACTCCACACTTCACACTTCTCACTTTTCGCTGCTGCCTTCACACTCCAAACCTCACACTTCACACTTCACACTGCGCTCTTCGCACTCCAAACTTAAACTTCACACTCCACACTTCACACTCCACACTTCACAGTTCACACTTCTCACTTCCCACTGCTTCCTTCTCACTTCGCACTTTACACTCCACACTTCACAGTCCACACTTCACAATCCACACTTCACACTCCACACTTCTCTCTTCTCACTGCTTCCTTCACACTCCAAACTTCACACTTCACACTTCTCCCTTCGCACTTCACACTTCACAGTCCACACTTCACACTTCACACTGCTTCCTTCACACTCCAAACTTCACTCTTCTCACTTCGCACTTCACACTCCACACTTCACACGTCTCACTTCTCACTGCTGCCATCACACTGCAAACCTCACACGTCACACTTCAAACTCACTCTTCGCACTCCAAACTTAAACTTCACACTCCACACTCCACACTTCACACTTCCCACTGCTTCCTTCACACTGTACACTTCACACTGCACTCTTCACACTCCACACTGCACTCTTTGCACTCCAAACTTCACACTCCACACTTCACAGGCCACACTTCAAACTCCTCACTTCTCACTGCTTCCTTGACACTCCAAACATCACACTTCACACTTCACACTGCACTCTTCACGCTCCACACTTCACACTGCACTCGTCACACTCCACAGTTCATCTCATCTGAGCTCTTCTCACCTTATCCCAGCTCATCTCTTCTCATCTCGTCCCTTCTCATATGTCATCTATTAAGCTTTCATTAATCAATTCCCAGCACTACTACTAATCACTGTCGAACCCTTGATGCACCCACTCCATTACGATTTACGAAGTCCAGCTGCAAAAGACAATAGTATTGCGCATGCAGCCGCGGCACCAAGCAACCTTGACGCAGCCATCACAATGCGATCTGCAGAGACTGAGTTGCGAAACACAATAGAACTACGCGCAACTGGGTCGGAAATTGCAGCTACAAAACCGGATCTCGACGCCAAAGCGAAAAAAAAGACGATTTTGAAGCACTTTTTAAAAGGATTTTAAAAAGAAAATCGCTGGCGCCAAAATGGAGAAAATCTGCTGACAAATCACTGTCGCAGCCTTCATGCAGCCACTCCAATACGATTCACGAAGTCCAGCTGCAAAAGACAATAGTATTACGCATGCAGCCGTGGCAAGAAGCAACCTTGACGCAGCCATTACAATGCGATCTGCAGAGACTGAGTTGCAAAACACAATAGAACTACGCGCAACTGGGTCGGAAATTGCAGCTCCAAAACCGGATCTCGACGCCAGAGCGAAAAAAAGACGATTTTGAAGCACTTTTTTAAAGGATTTTTAAAAAGAAAATCACTGGCGCCAAAATGGAGAAAATCTGCTGACAAATCACTGTCGCAGCCTTCATGCAGCCACTCCAATACGATTTACGAAGTCCAGTTGCAAAAGACAATAGTATTACGAATGCAGCCACAGCACGCAGCAACCTTGACGCAGCCATTACAATGCGATCTGCAGAGATTGAGTTCCAAAACACAATAGAACTACGCGCAACGGCGTCGGAAATTGCAGCTCCAAAACCGGATCTCGACGCCAAAGTGAAAAAAAGACGACTTTGAAGCACTTTTTAAAAGGATTTTTAGAAGGAAAATCACTAGCGCCAAAATGGAGAAAATCTGCTGACAAATCACTGTGGCAGCCTTCATGCAGCTACTCCAGTACGATTTACGAGATCCAGCTGCAAAAGACAATAGTATTACCAATGCAGCCACAGCACGAAGCAACCTTGACGCAGCCATTTACACTGCGGGAACGATCCTACAGTTGCAAAGGACAATGGAATTCCATCGGCAACTCATCCACCAGCACCACTTGCAATCCCATTTACATTGCGGGAACGATCCTACAGTTGCAAATCACAATGGAATTCTGTCAACCACACATGCACGAAAAACAGTTGAAACCCCATTTGCAATGCGGAACCGATCCGAGACCGATCCGAGACCGATCCGAGCGTGAGCCGACCACACACGAGACCGTCTCGCAACCGTCGCACCGCAGAGGTAGATCATCGAGGTTCGGGGACGGACTTTGTATGGAAAAACATAAGGTTTCGTGCATCTGCTATCTCTCAAAAACGCATTTCGTGCGAGACTTCCTCCAAAACTCCATCGGCAACTCCTCCACTTGCACCACTTGCAATCCCATTTACAGTGAGGGAACGATCCTAGAGTTGCAAATCACAATGGAATTCCATCGGCAACTCATCCACCAGCACCAGTTGCAATCCCATTTACATTGCGGGAACGATCCTACAGTTGCAAATCACAATGGAATTCTGTCGACCGCACATGCACGAAAAAGAGTTGAAACCCCATTTACAATGCGGAACTGATCCGAGCATGATCCGAGACCGATCCGACCATGATCCGACCACACACGAGACCGTCTCGCAACCGTCGCACCGCAGAGGTAGATCATCGAGGTTC